TCCAGAATATTTTCTCTATAATATTCGGCATTTATTCTGATGCCACGGTCGATTAATACCAGCGGAGAGCGACCATCTGTTGGTTTGGCGGCCCACACTATCACCATGGCCGGCGTTTGAGTTCTGGTGGCCAACCGAAGGTGCACATTTTCAGCTGATCTCTTTGGCAAGTAAACACGTCCATTTTGTTTGTTTACAAACTGGTGGACAACGAATGTTTTCTCATCGGCACTTTCGGCTAAGCGAAGCAACCCTGTAGCTCTTTTGAGTCTACTTTCTTTCTGTTGCGATGTAAGTTCTTGCACTTTTTGGAATTACAATGGCTTTACCCCGAACTCATTTTTCAATATTTGCTGAATGGAATATTGCGATATGTTCATCTCACGAGCGATTTTTCTGCTGTTTTCTTCCGTCCTCTTCCTTGACGTCGGGCACCGCTACCAGTATCACGATGGTACGTGACACAAAGGATTTATTCACATTTAAATGCAGAAGTGCTCTAACGATAGCCACTTGTGGTTTTCCAGCCAAATATAAAGAAATCACGCTATCACGCTTGAATTCCATCGCGAAAAACTTTTTTTCTGGAAAATTCTCACCAAAATGCTTTTGTACGCTTGTAAACAATATACTGTTACTGGAATAATTTTTACAGCAGCCCGAAATTGGTTGCTGTTTTTTCATCTCCCCCTGTATACGAACTTGGAAGTAGTCTCTCTAGATGAACTGAGACATGGGTGACAGACGAGAGGTCACGGAGTATTATTTAGAAAGCAACAGACGTGTAGTCTTCTCTTAAGGCGGGCTGATAGATGTCGTTTTAGAAGAGTAAAAGCGAGTTATTTAGAAGAGCTGAAGGGAGTCTTCTTAGAAGAATGAATAAATACTTTAAGAGTTTTTCCTAGACACTTTTTTGGTCCGTCGACTTAGTAAACATCGAACATCTTTGAATATTTTTCGTTTTCATTCATTCAAAATCTCCAAAGACTCAAACAAAAATAATACAGTTTTCAAATCAATCAAATTACCATATATGAACCTCGAAAATAGACAACTTTCTATTCTATTGCTGCCTACGCTTGATATGTTAGTAAATCTTAGCATGAGGTCACACAGAGATATGTCATGAAAAAGAATGAACAACAACAACGACATAAAAAATACCGGCATTTCTTTTGAAAAATTCTTCAACGTCTGCAGGAGGGAAGGGAGAAAAAAGTTTTTTTTTTTATTTAAAAATAGACACACCAAGAATTTTCCTACAACATGAAACCAGAAGTGGCATCGAAAAACGTGTCCATATGGGAGGGAGCGCACGGTGAATGGTGATGGTACCAACAGCAGCAACACATGCATGCCTACATATGTGTTTTGATATAAAACACACAGGCACACACTCACCGCAGATGATGAAATGAAATGTATTCCATGAAATGTAAATCTTAACCGGTTTTTTGTTCTTTCTCCGCCGTTTTTTTTTCATATATCACTTGATGATGGGATTTAAAAGCATCCCAGCCCAGCCTAGCCGCGTGCATCGCAACACTTCACCTTTTCTTTTTTTTCTTTAGATGTTTTATGGGCGCTTTTTGTTGTTGCTGTTGTAGGTTAAACATAAAACTACAAGTTGGAGCATGGCGAAAGTTGATGTTGTTTAAATTTCCGGTTAATCAAACTGCCAAGAGAGGTGGAGTTAATCAAAAGTTTTGGTTTTTTTTTTTTCATTCACCTGTCCCACTTGCAGATCAATGACCCATTGAAATATTGTAACCAAGTGATGGAAACTAATCGATTTTTAAAATCATCCTAAGCCGATTAGGAAAGATTTTTTGTAAGAAAAACAATTAACAGAATTTTTTTCTTCGGGTCTTAACATTTGATTTGAGAAATGTGGTTGCCAAATGTATTCCACAAGAAACTCGCACACTGTCAAAAAAAAAAAATGATGGCAATTTATTTTGAATAACAAATTACGCATCGTTCGTATTTAGGAAAGAAAATTTCCTAAATGTTGCAATTAGGAATATTTCACTCTTACAAGCCTCCTTTTTCTTACACACATACACTCTCTCTCTCTCCCTCTCTTGGATGTATTGCCCCAAAGTGCTTTGGATGAATTGCCTAAAATTAGTGGGAATTACAAATGAGTTCTTATTATAAATAATGAATACTCTCCTCATTCTAATTCCACAACTACAAATGATGAATGCGATTAATTTGAGTCAAGTGGTCAAGTGGGTGGTGGTGGCAAAGCAGTAGACAGCTGACAAACACATCTCTGCCACCCATGATGATATCAAAAAACCAATCAACCAAGAGAAATCGTAGAAAAAATCAAATTGAATGCTTAATCAAATTTTGAAATTCAATAAAGCAAATCAAAAGTCAAATTGAAAAAAAAAACATTACAGCAAATCTACGACACGTCTGTCGATCTGGTATGTAAATATGACAGTGATATTTAAAATGGGTCTAATGTGGGACTTCTTCGAACCGTGGATAGTTGCCAAGAATTCAAATATCGAACATGAAAAGTGTAACTTGTCATGTCTGCAAATTTTTTTACTTTCATGCGTAGCCAGACAAACAAAATTGAAAATATAAAACACCTGTTTCTATCGCTAAATGACCAGTCATTTGGGTTGGGGCTTTTTTTTATTTTTGGTCAATAATTATGATGATGATGATTATGATGTTTATGATGATTTTAATGAGGCATATACACAGAAATTACCACTCAAATGTCGCAGATGATTCAAACTATGATGAGAAAATATTTTCTTGGGCTAGATTTCTTTCTTAAATTGAAACCCATAAATATAAAATATAAAAATGACAATTTATACAAAACTGATAGACGGGAAAAGTTTGATTGTGCGTACAGATGACCCAAATGTTTCCATTTTAAAAATGTTCACTATTTTCAAAAGTAAAAATATGTTTGAAATAGGTATTATAAATGATATGGTGATTGCCTAACAAAAAAATGGGCAGCTTTTGAAAACGGACTTATATCTCGGAAAACATAAAACACGCACTTCTTCAAATCCATAAAAACTGGTCTCCAGTGTTGTACAATAACCTTTTCCTTCATTATAAATTGCATGTCCCTTACACTTGAGACTTCTAGTCTACATAGTCTCTATTCAATTTTAGTTTTCTTAAAATAATATCAAAATCTTTTCAAAAATTACTTTATTAAGAACGTATAAAAAAGTCTACGAGAGTAGCTTTCAATTTTTCGTATTTTGATTTTTTTTTAAAAAACTCGGGTCTTTAAAAAATCGTTTTTGAAATGACTCAATTCACTCACCCCATTTATAAGGAAACACACATAAATATTGGACCCTGCATTTCTATTGATAAATACAGCCGATCATATATTGATATTCTATTCAGGTGGTCTGTAAGGAATGTCTTCAGCTTATATAAAACCTTGCAGAAAGGGCTATCTTAATCTTAATTATTAAGATTCTTCTAAGCTGATTTTTAGACCTCCATTTGGGGGTCTAAAAAGTCTGCTTTGCTACGAAGACACTGTTGGACATTCTATGACCTTATTTTACGCGGATTGAAAGAATATATTATTGACTTCTATTATTAGGTTCATTTTAGCTACGATCTTTGGGCATGATCTTTGGGAACACACTCTGTAGCATCTTTAAATTTCTGAAAGAGAATCAGATCGGCCTCTGGTAATTCCCTTTTGAGCTATTTCGATCGAACACAACTGGATTTCCTACTTAGTTTATCTACGACCAATCTAAAAACTTCCAGAACCATCTTCCTCAGCTCGGCAAAAAAATTCTCCGCCTGATTGAACTCCTTGAATCAGTAAATTTGATAATTTGCCTATATCTTGTCTTTAAATATGGCTACCATGGGCTATGAAAACTGCCTACATAAGCTGATCTATAAATATTTCGGCCCAAAGGCGTCTTTCCTTTCTCAGATCGTCTTTATAATCAATCAACTAAAGACTCCTCGTATGTAAACTAAAAGACTCCTCGTATGTAGAGAGTCGTGCTTTAAGATTGTTAAAAGTAGAGGGTGGCATCTTCAGCTCGTTAAAAGGAAAAAATCGCTTTTTCAGCTCGTCTATAGAAAAAATGACTATTTTAGCTTGTCCGTAGAGAGTCTACCTTATTTCGATCGTGTAGAGAAAGGTTTCCTTCTTCAGCTAGCCTATAGAGACTCTGTTCAGCTCATCTATAGATACTGCATTCAGCTCGTCTATAGAGACTCCCTGTCAGCTCGTCTATAGAGACACCCTGTCAGCTCGTCTATAGAGACTCCCTGTCAGCTCGTCTATAGAGACTCCCTGTCAGCTCGTCTATAGAGACTCCCTGTCAGCTCGTCTATAGAGACTCCCTGTCAGCTCGTCTATAGAGACTCCCTGTCAGCTCGCCTATAGAGACTCCCTGTTAGCTCGTCTCCCTGTCCTGTTCAATCACCATCCTTTTGATCACAGCATCCCTAAGATGAACATCTGCCTTTATTTGTCTGCACAGCCGAGGACGTATATGGCTGGTTCGTAATTAAATCGACTTTCGATTAAGCTTTAGTTGATTTTTCATTTTCATATGAGCCTAAAAGTATGCAATGATTAACAACTTTGATTTTCTACTTTTAAATAACCGATTTCATGTTAAAGTAAAAATCTAAATTGAATTCTTAGGTGATTAAAGAAGTTGGAGGATCGAAATTTAAAAGTTTTTTTGAGGCAAAATCCAACTCAGAACTCAAAAATCTAAAATTAAAAAAAAAAACTTGAAATCTATTTTCAGATGATTCAGGAAAATGTTATATCAAAATATCTACTTTTTTGGCACACAATTCGAAAATCGACTTGTTTCACTTTTCTATAGTAAACTACCTAACTAGACTATTCTAAAAAGCCTATAGATCTCGCCTGATTGAAAACTCGAAGCCTAATATTTTTGTTTTCTATTTTTTCATTACTAATTCCCCATATCTATTGCTTTCTTTGTATTTTCCAGTCAGGTGGCACAACCGTCCCATTGGAGCACAACACGGTACGTTTTGTGGATAACTTTAGTGCCGGTACACGTGGCTCCTCATCAGCAGAATATTTCCTAGATCATAATTATGCCGTTATATTTATGCATCGTCTCAAGTCGTTGGAACCATTTACCCGCCATTTTACCGGACAGCAGTTTTTCGATATGCTCGATATTACGGATAATGGCCAGAGCACTTCGATAACGGTTAATCCCGATTCGGTGGATGTGTTCGCACCAATCTTGGCGAAATATAAACAGGCTCGTGAATCGCAAATGATTCTGTATGTGAGCTTTACCAGTGTCGTCGACTATATGTGGCTTCTGAGGGCCGCCTGTGAATGTTTGGCCGCATTTGAAGATCGGGCCGTGTTGTATTTGGCAGCGGCTGTATCGGATTTTTACATACCGCAGGATATGATGGTGAGTTGGTAAAGAATTTTGATAGTTATTTTTTTGGTAGAGGTAGATTTGTTGCTCGCTCTCTCTCTCTCTCTCTCTCTCTCTCTCTCTCTCTCTCTCTTTATCGAAAGGATGCATATGTAAAAAATGTTTAAAAAAAGAATTTTGAAATTATATTAAGAAATTAGAAATGAATGAATAAAAAAAAGTAAAGGACTGTTTTCCGGCAGCAAAAGGATGCATATGTGATTTGGAAACCCCATTAAGGATATTGAGTAATAGTGAAAATATTCTTAAAGAAAACTGAATTTACATTTTTTCCCTGAAAATTTTACGTCAAACCATTTTTAACCCTTTTCCTTTCAATGACAATTTTCATCGAATCAATATTGATTTATGAATGTGATGAAAAAAAAAGTAGAAGAAAAATTGCTTTCGTATTTTTTTCTAATTTAATATTGCCATCCACGTGCCAAATCAATACGACCTGTCGTCAGACAACATTGTTCGGTCATATTTTTCTTTTTGTTTTCCGTTTACTCCCCTCTTTTTTTTGTCATTTTTTAATCGGGATCTATCTACCACAATACTAGTTGGGCACCTAGTGCGCAACCACCTCCCCCCTTTTTTTTTGTTTGCAATTTTGCACCAACAATGAGTCTGAGAATTTGATTTGTAAACATTTGATGCGTGTTGTCGTTTTTGTTTCTCCTCTCTTTTGCTGACATTTTATTTTCTATTGTCTTTGGAACAATGCAAGTAATTTTCCTTTCTATTCTTCTATTATTCATTGCTTTTCTTCATAATTGTTTATGACCATAAGTGGTATGGGACTTAATAGGATTTCTTAAATAAATATCAAGGGAATTAAAATAAATTACTAAGAAAAATATTTCAAAATATTACTAGATCAATGAGGACTGATTTTTTTAATAGGAAAATGCAGGCTTCCATGTTTTTTTTGTTTTCTTTTAAAAAATGTCTAACCATAAAAAAGACTTAATCACTGAGACCCCCTACAGAATGTCTACAAATCCCCCTTAGAGATGGTCTATAAAGACGCCTAAAGATGATCTATAAAGACCCCCTAAATCTGGTCCTTAAAGACCCCTTAAAGGTGGTCTATACTGGATGAGATAAAAAACTGCAACAAACTCAAACCGCATAATTTTTACATTTTTTTTTCCAATTTCATTGAATGAAAGCAAGAAATGACGAAAATAGCATCAATTTTAGAATAAGTTTAGATTTATTGGAATTGGTCGCCTTTGACACGAATTATGACCTTCAAACGGCCATAGAAACCGCCACACGTTGCCCGAATGTTGCTCTGCTGTATTTTGGCCCATTCCCGGCGAAGCGCTTGCTTGAGGTGATTGACATTTTGGTATTTTTTAGTGCCAACCATGCTTTCCAAAATACTCCAGACACAATAGTCCAACGGATTGGTATTCGTAGTTTTTTTGGCCAATGTGCGCTAGAAATAAAGCGAGGAACTTCATTTTGTAACCATTATTAGGTGGCGCGTGTTGAGTACTACTCAGCTGAGTCCTGTTGGAATGTCCAAGCTCTGTGGCCAAAATGTTTGTATGCCCAAGGCTTTAACACACCCTCCAGAATAATTTCGCGATAATATTCGGCATTTATTCTGATCGATTAAAACGAGCGGAGAGCGACCATGGGCTGTTATGGCGGCCCACACCATCACCATGGCCGACGCTTGAGTTCTGGTGGCCAACCGAAGGTGCATATTTTCAGCTGACCCCTTTGGCAAGTAAACTCGATCATTTTGTTTGTTTACAAACTGCTGGACAACCAATGTTTTCTCATCGGAGAAAAGCAAATTCGGCAGTTCACCACTTTCGGCTAAGCGAAGCAACTCTTTAGCTCTTTTGAGTCTATTTTCTTTCTGTTGCGGTGTTACCCCGAGCTCATTATTAAAAATGTTTGGCCGAATGGAATGTTGCGATATGTTCAGCTCACGAGCCATTTTTCGGCCACGGCGACGCGGGTTTCGATCAAGTCGTTTCTTTACTTTTCGAAACATTTCTGCTGATGTTGCTATTTTCTTCCGTCCACTTCCTTGACGTCGGGTTACGCTACCCGTATCACGGTAACGAGCGATGATACGAGACACAAAAGATTTAATCACATTTAAATGCTGGAGTGCTCTAAGGATAGCCACTTGTGGTTTTCCAAATATAAAGAAATTACACTATCACGCTTGAATTCCATCAAGAATAACTTTTTTTCTGGAAAATTCTCACCAAAATGCTTTTGTACGCTTGTAAACAATATAATGAGCTGCCACTGGAATAATTTCAACAGCTATCGGACGAGTGGTTTAGAAATGACAGCAGTCTCAAGTTTGTTGCAGTTTTTTCATAACACACTGTTAATTCCCTAAAGGCGGTCTATAAAGACCACCTTAAGGTGGTTTAAAAAGACCCCCTAAAGGTGGTCTATGCAGAACCCAGAAAGGTGGTCTATACAGACCCCCTATGGGTGGCCTATAAGGACCACCTCCTAAATGTGGTCTATAAAGACCCCCTAAAGGTGGCTTATAAAGACCCCCTAAAGGTGGCTTTTAAAGACCCCCTAAAGGTGGTTTATAAAGACCCTCTAAAAGTGCTCTTCACAAAGCTGGACTTTAAAAATTCACTCCAGTAGGTCCACTATTATTGTAAACACTACCTTCCCCCTCTCTCTCAATTTAACAGAGCCTCCTTAAATTTCTTAATCCCATTTTCCCTACAACGTCACCTTTCCTTTTTGCAATATATTTAATTTTCTGTTTTAATCAACTTCAAAATGAAATCTTCTCTGTCGCCCTGACATTGAACTCTCTTTCGGCTGCTTTAATTTCTAATGGTCCGTGGGTTTACTATTTTTCACAACATGCCTGGCTGGCTGCCTTGTCATGGCTTGCCTCTGACGAGGATACCGATGATGATGATGATGATGACACATTGCTTTGGTTTCCTTAAGCTTTAATATTATCATCCGCTCAATTTCTTACAACAACACTTGCAGATGACACGCCAGTGGGTTTTCTGCTTGTTTTTGCTTCCATTCACTCTATTTGGCCTCTTTAGTACAAATTGCCCAAGGCGGAATAAAGAAGAGTCTAAACGAGGCTGTTGCTTGGTTACACGGCTTAGCGGCAGAGTGATGCTGATGCTGATGATGGCGGTGGCAATGCCTTGACATTGACATTAGAGGAGCAACTAAACGCCAACTCAGCAACATTGAAAAGTGGCAGAGAATTCAAGGATTTCAAAGCCAGCCAAACCATTGGACAACAACAATCATTCATGGGTTGGTTCTTTGTGTAGAGGCGTGATGATGCTAATGATAATCACGAAGTTGGAAAATGCAACATCTTTAGAGGCTGTTTTTTTTTGTTTTGCACAGCCCACCAGCCAGATGACGTCTTGAACTTGAGTTTCTTTTTCCATCCATGTCACCCCGATAAGGCGGCTCTTGGAAGTTTTTCTTCTATCCTTTAGCTGTCACTTGAATGTGGCCTTCCAGTGTTGGCGTTCGGTTCCCATACCTCATTCCCTTTGCAACTTGCCACACTCGTTTAGTGTTTGATTTTATTTTGTTCTCCCATGTCCCTTTTCTTCTCTCCATGGCGAATGGAAAAGTGATTGTCATTGTCACTTCATGTTTTACAGCATCCTTAACGATGTCATCTTCGTCGTCAACGTCGTCGAATAATAATTTCATTTGCATAATTTGTGGCAGTGAATCAGTTTGTTTGTGTGGTGCAACTGAATTTTCAATGTTCATCTTCCGGGGGTTATTTCTTTGCTACATCCTGGCCGACAACATGATGTTGCTAGTTTCCACTTCCTTTCTTCTTGTTCTTCTTGTTCTACTGTTTTTCCTTTTTGTTATATTTTCTTGGCATCCTCATAAAAATGACAATGACTTTGCAAGTCTATAGCAGCAGTAGTTCCCTTGAGAGGAAAAAATTCTAAAATTTATTTAAAAAAATGCCGGATTTTATTTTTCTTTTTTTTTTTGTAATCTCAGTATTGTACACGTTTTTCAAAACAGCTTTTCATTTCATCTTTCTGCCTCTGCTTTTTCTTTTTCTTCATTTTGACTTGGTCACCGGGTCTTTGGAGAATGTTGTACAAGTGCATGATGCTTTGTGCTCTATAGCACACCGAAAAGGTCAGTCATTTCATAGGGGATTTGTTGAGCTGGCCTTTTTTTGGTTGTGGGTTGTTGGAAACATAATCGGTCTAGGAATTATTTTTCTAGTCATTTTCTGTTTGGCATTAATGATCTTTTTAAAATGAACAATTACTGAGAAATAAATATTTTTTCATGGAAAAATCTGTCATGGAGGCCAATCCTTATATTTTCAAAATATTGTAATTATTCGCCACTGATATTTTCTATAGTTTTTTTCCTTAAGTCAAATAGTACTGATCTTTCCTACAGAAAATCATCCTTCAGTCACCGACGAATGAGTTTTTTTCCAGTAGGAAAAAATTACTGAGGAATCAGTCTTTAATGCTTAAGGTTTTTTATACCCTCCACCATAGTATGGAGGGTATATTAAATTTGTCATTCTGTTTGTAACACCTCGTAATATACATTTTAGACCCCACAAAGTATATATATTCTTGATCATCATAAAAGTCTATGTCGATTTAGCGATGTCCGTCTATCCGTCTGTCCGTCTATGGAAATCACTCTAGCTTCCGAACGAACTGAAGTAGGTGGATAAAATTTTACTCAAATGTATACTATGTCTGCAGTACTTTTGGTATTGAAAATGGGTCATGTAGGTCCACGTTTTGGTATATCCCCCATATAATGGTACCTCCCGATATTCCGTACTTTTATGATTTTAGCGACATTATACACCGGAATTGTTTCAAATTTGGTATTTGAAGCTCGTAATGGGTACTACAGCCTATGACAGAAAATTGTCTGTGCAGGTCCACGACTTCATATAGCCCCCATATAATGGTACCTCCCGATATTCGGTATTTTGATGA